GTGTTGTGCAGTATTCTGTACAGCAATATCGCATCTCTCAATCATGTATTTTCATCTATCACTGTTCTCCCACTGCAATACCTGAATGCAACGCGCAAATATGTCATATAGCCACTGGAAATCCTCTGTATGGTGATAACCAATGATGTAGAGGCTGATAAAAACAGACATGATAATCGGCCTCCTAGCAGTGATATTAGTTATCTGGCTCCTGTATCCACCCCAAAAGCACCATAGTTTTTCAAAAGTTCCTCCCACCATTGAGGTACAACATCAGAGGGGTGTTTCCCTAATCTTTAAACCGAAAAAAATCTCACTCTCAAGACTATCATGGCACCATTGTAGGAGGCAAGTAGGCATGTTTACATATGTAGAAATTGTTACATTTTTTATTTTGGACCAAGTATCAGCAAAATCCAGTCTTCCTCCCTTCCTATAGCTTTATAAACTACAAAGGTAAACTAGAACTGCATTTTTTTTTATTGTCAGGAGACACAAATGCAGTAATATCTGACCATAGAACGTGCTGAGTGCTGTGTATAGAGGCCCAGCCACTGTTTGTGTGTTACATATGTGCAAGGTGCGAAATACAGGAGTCCTGGGGGGTCTAGGAGACTAATTAACCTCTTGGACCCCCTCAATGTTTCAAAGTCAAAATTCTGGTCCCTGCAAATAAACTTATTATGATGTTATGCTGTGCATGAGCGTGAAACAGACACTCAAATACAAATTCGGGGAAAGCACATTGTTTAGCTGCTTCACCCACAATCAAGCTTCTGTTGTTGGTATTTTTCATCAAATAGAGATGCGGCAATGGTCTGCTTCAGGGTGTTGCTGTAGTAGACTGGTTCACCCAGTTGGTTCTTCATAGCCTAGCAACTGTAACTGCACTTCTGAAAAACTTTACAATGTGCCACTGCATATTTGTAATTGTAAAAACTTACCCAATTTCCATGTGAGTTTGATGGAAGGAATGAATCTTTACTCATCTCTCTTCTCATTTCCAGAAGAAGAATTGTTAAACAGAGTACATAATAACATTAAAAGATTTAGAGAATCTGAAGAAATCTCTGTGTGCAAGGGTCAAGGCTAAAACCCAGTATTTGCTGGCCATGATCTTTGGGCCCTCAGATGGCACTGCATTAAAAACAGACATGATTCTGCATTGGAAATCACTGCATGGGCTCAGGAATACTTCTGAAAAACACTGCCTGTGAAAACAGTTTGTCTCTGCATCCACAAATGCAAGTTAAAACTTTAAAATTCCAAGAAAAAGCCATATATAAACTAGAAACACTGCCACCTTCTCTGGGCCTGAGCTCATTTAAAATGGACTGAGGGGAAGTGGAAAAGTGTCCTTTTGTCTGACAAATCAACGTTTGAAATTATTTTTGGAAATCATGGACACTGTGACATCTAGGCTAAAGACCACTCAGCTTGTTATCAGTGCACAGTTCAAAAGCAAGTATTCATGATGGTATAGGGGTGCATTAGTGCACATGGCATGGGTGATATGCGCATCTGTGAAGGCACAGTTAATGCTGAACGAGATATACATGTTGTGGCAACATATGCTTTTTCAGGGAAGGCCTTGATTATTTCAGCAAAACAATGTCAAACCACAATCTGCATGTATTACAGCAGCATTGCTCTGTGTTAAAAGAGTCCTGGTGCTAAACTGACCTGCCTGCAGTCCAGACCTGTCACCACTGAAAACATTTAGTGCATTATGAAATAAAAAATGTGTCAAAGGAGACCCTGAACTGTTGAGCAGCTAAATTTTGTATCAAACAAGAAAAAGAAAACATTTCACTTTCAAAACTACAGTAGTGTCTCCTCAGCTCCCAAACGCTTACAGAGTGCTGTTAAAAGAAGAGGTGATGAAACAAAGTGGTAAACATGCCCCTGTCCCAACATTTTTGGAACGTGTTATTGGCATCAAACTCAAAATGGGCATATATTTTTCAAAAAATACTAAAATTTCTCCATTTCAACATTTGATATGTTGTGTCTGTAGAAGTTGTCTGCACAGCATCACAACTTTTTTGGAAATGGGGTTGTATATGTAACCATTTGAAACCTTTTCAAAAGTTGGAAGTGAATAAGACAAAAACATGTTGGGTCCTCTTTGAAACTAGACGTCTGTTCCCCACACTACAAAACCTACAAGCTTATCAGCTACCTATGACACAGTACTATGGTAAAGATCACCACACCACAACTTAGAAAGTATCCAGATGAATCATACAAACATCCCTTACAGAGAAGTCACAAGAATGTCCCCTGCTAAGGGTACTGGACATTCAGCCGTGTCTAAAATCACCCTTCAAATGACATGTATTGTTGATTGTAAATAAATGTTTTGATAATAAGTTAATAGATTGGTTTTCAACCTACAGGGTAGTGTTGGGTAATTTCCCACAGCATGATTTAGATAGAAATTTAGAAATGTATGAAAAACACCCATTCACAAATTCTGTGAAGCAGTTAACCCCAAAAACTGGAAAGAGAAGACAAAACATTGAATACAAAAGTAGAAAAAAGTGTAAAATTTAATGACAAAAATCTTTTTAAGAATTACAAGAGCATGAAAACAGAAACATAATTAAAATAATTGATAAAATTAGAGAAAAATGTTCTCAACAGGTCAGTACATTTGCACAAATACACAATCTCAATCTCAAAGGTATAACTAAATAAAAGCTTAAAAAAATCAGCAGGCTAAAGAGAGAGAGGTGGGGACGAGAGCACCCGCAGGTGTCTTCTCCATTTAACACAGTCTTGATCAAAGCAATTATAGCTTTATGCAAACTATGTGCAAATCAGACAATCTAAACATACAATTGTTGATTCATTGTTGCAAATCAAAGCTAGTGTGACACAGACTTGAACAGGTTCAGAAACAGCACTAAACAGTGTCATGTGTGAGATTCAGTCAGTAAAGACAGTGTCCATTGTGCACATCCTAATGATGTCAGCAAGAGTCACTCTCAGTCAGACCCAAGACCCTTTTCCCAGTTTCCCAACTCAGTTCCAACCCCTTTACCATAGGCTGCTGCCATGCCTGTTAGGATAGATTGAAATTGGGCATAAACAAGTCCTGATTCGTCCTTCTCAAGAACATAGCACAGGCCTCACAGAGACCACAGAGACACAGGTGTAAGGAATATATTTTTAAGTAAAATCAAAAAGATGCAAATTTGATTATGAGATAATGTACATCCCATTCCCTGCGGATCGCCAGGTGGCCGTGGTGGTACTGCTTGAGGGCTGCCGGTGAGTTTTTATCATTCATTTTTTAACCACAAAACTTCATTACAATATGTACAGCAATAATTTCAAATATGACAAATATTATTATGATAATTGTTTGCAAAAATAAAACAAAAATACCTAAATACATAGGGTAAAATGTTTGTCTTTTTGATTGTATGGAATTAACGTCCATCATAGGTAAATAACTACAAACAGATATTTTAAGGATTGTTGGGGGGCGGAGGAGGGGGGGGGGTTGTTATGTTGCATACAATAAGTGAAACTGCACAGGCTACATTCAATGCAATTTAATTATATTTTTGGGCCATGAAAGCTTTTGTTACATTGTAAAAGGTTGGGAACTCCTAAGTTAACACGTTCACTATGGAAAACAAACATAAATATGGCATTTTTCTGCATTTTTTATTGCATAATTTATATTTATTTGCTAAGTTTAACATATTGGGGAAAACATAAATTAAATTAAATTAAATTAAATTAAATTAAATTAAATTAAATATGCCATAACTTTTGCTAAGGCCACTTGTTTGTTTGTTTTTTTCACAGTATGTTAAGGTCAGTAAGTAAACAGTACTTGCGCATTAAAATGTACGGAAGAAAATCATTAGAAATCATTTTAAATGAAAGTAATTTGACCTGGGACACCCAAACTTGCATACAACTGTAAATTAGATAAAGCGTATATATGTAAACCACAACAAACAACAAGGGATACATTCATTCTTACATAGTATTCATGCAGCCTCATGAATGTGCAAGTGCAAAGAAGCTATGACCATCATGGCCACCAAGAGATCAGCTGATATGGTCATCTTTGAGTACTTAACTCCTCACTTATTCACCTTACATAGCTAGGCGCTCTTAGCTATGTAATAGTTTGTTACACAGCCAAACTACAGAGGGGTTACATATTAAAGGAAAAACCTGAGTAAAGTAGTGGAGGACTTTAATGAGTACAGATGCTTCCAGACAGGTGTACTGCATACTGCATATTCTGCAGCATGTATTAAAATGCTGAACCTTAGTTATAAACACTGCTCAACTGGCTAGTATGTCAATAGAAACAGTGACTAAAGTGACATCTGCATTTAGATCTGTGGGAAAGACATTAGAGCTGGAAACTGTGGTCGAAAGTGTGCATGTGGTGAGTGTGATGCTTGTGCATTAGTGCGATAGGTACAAAAATTGAAAAAACAGAACAGCAGCTATTCCTTCATCAGGTGACTGAGAATGTCAAGGCAGGACATGATCACACAAGAACAGTTCGTCCACAACTACACAGAGAGGGACATTATAGTAGGGCTGCAGGGCATTAACTCATTACACAGACAAATGCACTTGAGAGTTCAGTGATGTAACAACCACACTGAGATGTGGAAAAAGTGTATTCGCCATAAGTGTGTGAGCACATATGTGGGATACTCCAAAACAGAAGGGTACATGCTTGACTGCTTGACCCCGACAGCTGAAGGGAGGCCCGGTAGCTCTATTATGCTGTGGGGCAAATCATCGTCTTTTTTCTATGATGAAACATTTCTATCTTGGTCTCTTCCAGGATGACAGTGCTCCCTTCTGCAGGGCATAAAGGGTCACTAAGGGGTTTGAAATTGATGTTAACCATATGCTATGGCCCTCGCAGTCCCCAGATCTCAACTTAATTGCAAACCTATGGGAGAGTTTGGAATCTATGATAAGTGACACTCAAGATGTTTATGGTGGCCCAACCCCTTCCTAAGACACAAAGTTGTTTTTTCCTTTAATTTGTCACCCATCTGTTTATTACCTACAAACAAGGTAAAATAGCCTAAACAAAGTGACCAGTGAAAATAGTGATGGGCACTCTGGCTCTTTTCAGAAGAGCCTCCTGTGATTTTAAACTACAGCATCATAAGATCTATCAGGTCAATTGGCTCAGCTTACAAATAAGAGCCGACTCTTTCAGCTCTCCATTCAGTAGAATTGTCAGTTCATTTGTTCTCAAATTTAACACAGTTAGTTATGTTATCATGTTCATTATTACTTTCATTTGTAATAAAACTTACTTTAACTAATTAACAAAAAATGTATTGTCTGTTTTTTTTTTGTATTATTATAATAAACACTGCATTAATTTTGAGAGGCTGGAATCACAAAATAAACAAAATGCAGGCAAATGCATCAACCAGTCATTAACAAAGTCAAAAATCAGAAGAACTAATGAGGCACACTTGGAAACACGGCTAAAATGACATGAAAACAGAATCAGAGTCACTCAATTCAACAGGTGTTAAGGATAATGAGGGGGAGGAGCCGGAATGTTCCAGTGAGATCCAGAAGGGTCTCCTGTGATTTTAAGCTACAGTATCATAATATTTATTCATTTGTTTTGTCTTATACTGCGGTCAAGAGGAGTCAGAAACTGGTAAATACCAATTTTCCCTCTTGTAAATTGTGTAAACTGCCACCGCCATGATTTCTTTTCCATGTGGTGGGCATATCTATTGACAAGCACCCGAACAGAGTTTAGTCATATTTACTAGTCATATTAACCATCCTAAATATACAACCTTCCAACCCGAATTTACCCAAAAAATAAAACAACAACAAAAAAAAAACAGCATGGCAAGTAAGCATACACTTAAGAGGGGTACAAGGATGGTTGGCATCTGTCTGATTGTGGTAGGCTGGTCTGTATAAAAGTCTAATGCCAATTTTTGTTCCTGATCCATGCTAGTACAGATGTGTTATACCTTGTTGAGTAAGCCAGGCTAACTCTTTGCTCTGAAAACCTTTTTCAACAACAAGTAATACCCCACAGAATCCAGGCAACAGTTGGTTGTTGCTATCCATTCAGAGACTTCATAAAAGACAGAACTAAATTTAACCTTTCCAGGCTCATGTGGCGAAAGATAACTCACCAGATAACTAATATGGATGGGAGTAAAGCAAACTATGAAAACAATCATGTTTGCTGTGATTATGGCCACTATCCTTTTCCTTTCTAAGACGTCTTTCTTCTCAAACTGCTGAAGGCTACCGTCTGCCTCTGTTGATTTCAGAATCGTACAGATTGCTTGTGTGGAGCAAATTGTGATGATGGCTATCGGCAGAAGATAGCCAACAATCTCCAGAACCAGTAAGAAAGATAGCTGCAGTTGCCGATCTGCTCTGTGCACGTAGCATTTCCGCAACTTGTCCTTACGCAAATTGTCAAGGAAACTTGTGCAGATTGACATCACCATCATCCAGATGAGAACACACACAATTTTTGCTATAGCCTTTTTCCTGGCTTCTAAAGCTTTGGTCAGCAAGGGGAACTTGATGGCTATGAAGCGGTGGGCGCTGATCACGGCGATGGTAAAGATGCTAACATACATGTTGCTGTAATGCACGCATATGAGGAATGTGCAGAACTCTGAAGGGCGCATGGGGCAGAAGGTGTCAAATATCCGGAAGGGCAGAAAGAGGATGAGTAAGAAGTCAGCGAGCATTAGGTTGAACATGTAGATGTGAGTGCTCGTCCAGTGGCGGATTCGGAAGAAGAACCAGAGGGCCGAGATGTTGAGGGGCAGGCCCACAGCAAACACAGGTGTGTAGCCCACCTGCTGGAAGAGAATGAGGGCAGCCTCACTGTTGTTCACCACACTGCAGTTTAAGTCCATGACCTGAGACACAGCAACCAGAGCGGAGAGCAGAGTTAGAAGAAACAGCAGCAGTAAAAAAAACTGTCACTTTGAAATGACATCAGCAGAAAGACTAAGCTGTGGAACGGCAGCATCTTGAACAAGCAGGGCCATAACTTGATATATGCAGTATAAACAGTCACTCGGTGGTGCAAATGTTTAGAAACCTCTTTCAGAAAGTCATGCGAGAAATTTTTGGAGTTGTCGAAAAAATACATAACTGGCTGTGTTCACATGCAAAGATTTTTGCCAATCTGATTGAATAAATTGCGATTATAGATTAAAATTGAGGTGTTTATATTCTCACTCTACTCAACAATCTGATGGAAAATCTGTTTACATGCACACTACAAGTAATCTGATCAGAAAGTACACACATGTGTAGAGTAACACTTACTTTAGACATTACCATGACAACGAGCATCACGTGAGTCCAGTCAGCATGAGAGGAGCAGCGATAAGCAGTGCTTGTGTTTTTAATTACTTTAAAATGATGTCAGACTCAGGAAAACATACTTCACATGTACTTATTAAAGAAGGACAAGAGGAAGACGTCGTGTTCTGAGACACATAAGCTGGACATCTGTCCCACCGCCGTCATTTAAGCTCAAAGTATAAACTACGTTTCCTCTGCAGACCAGAACGTTGTGAACTTTCGCTATGACGCAAACGCACATGCGTAGAACGTGCTTAAACTTTCCGAATGGGAATGTAATCGGATACAGGCATTTACATGGTTATTATTGTTTTATTTAACGGATTATTTACAGGATTACCCACCTCGTTCAATCTAATAGTAATTGTATTCCGAATAGCCTCAATCAGATGTCTATTCCGATTGAGGTGTTTACATTGACGTATTGTATTCCAATCAGGCTATTGGTCAGATTACTAAAGGATTTTTAGGCTGCATGTAAACGTGGCTACTGAGTTGCAAAAGAGCTGTCAGATATCAATTGAGCCCTAGCAATGAAAAAATGTGACTTTTTTCTAAAAATCTTATGTTGTGGCATCATTTGATGCCCTGTATTCAAAATTAAGGGGTCACTAAAGTGTTAATAAAGTACAGCATTGTAGAAAATAAAATACTAAACAAAATAATTAATAATCCAAAATGGGTGGAATGGTTAATGTACAGTATTTTGTTGGAGGGGCTCAATTATTATTCTGTCAGTTACAGTTTAAAACTCGAAGTAGATTGTGGTTTTGTTTAGTTAGATACAGCAATGACAAAAAGAAAGAAGCACTAACCTACTTTGGAATCGTTTTCAACATCTCTTTTCTGCACTATGATTGTTTGTTGATTTTTCTTGTTCATTATCATCATATTTGTCATTACTGTCAATATGCAGACAGAAATAAAATGCCATTGTAATAGGCAACTTAATCTCTATACTGAATATGTATGACATTGTTTTTCTGTTCATGGTATTATTTGTTCTTGTGGTTTAATTCTGATACATAAAGCATGAGAAATCATTATTATAAGTGTAATTGTAGAGATTCTTTGTTTACTAAAGTTTATATTGCTGTATGTAGGCTTTAGCCACCTGAAATTGGTCTCCCACCATTTGTCAGACCACATTTGTACTCATGCTGTCTATTAAGGCCACTGAAGTGAGAAATACTAACATAAACTTTATCATTTATAGCTTGTGGTAATTAAGACTTTATTAAGACACTTTGGGCCAGATTTACTAAACACACAACTAGATTTACCATGACGTTAAGAGTAACTACCATAACAGCATATTCATATACAAGGATTTCTTGCATATTGTGAGGCATTTATGCACTTTTATCTTTTATCCTGTTAGCAATTCATAACAAACAGAATCAATTTTTTTGACCCAGTGAGGCTTGTAACTGCTGCTGTAGGACTACACAAGGATCTGCTTGAGTAGATTTTCAGATTTTGCAGATTTAATTGGCACTATATTTAAAACAGCCTCTTCTTCCTGCATCAAATTCAATGTTTGGCAAATCCCTCCTGGGTGTTAAAAGCAGGTTTAACGTGTAATCCAAATAAGTGAAGAATTATTTTGACATGTTGAGATTCTAACTGCATGTTCAAATTGATTCTAATGCAAGCTCTTACTCCTGTTTTTCAATTTACAATGGATTTTACAAAGGAATTTAGTTTACACATGTGAAAATGTCAGTTTTACTAACGAAAATTAATTTATTGCAAGTAAAACCTAAATTTTTAGTTGAAATTTAAAATTTACTAGTGGAATGATTTGATTTTACTGTGCACAAATTGAATTCCTGAGATGAAGAAAGATGGGAATAAAAGCTAAATGGTTTGCCAGAGTAATCAGAAGTTCAGTGTGTCAATTTAACTTTTTATTATGATAAAAAATCCCATGTTAAACTTTAATTAATTTTAGTAAAAATTTTTACTGCAATTGTAATGAGTGAAATCTAACACGCTAAATATAACTTGAATACCATTTTCCGATTAAAAAGAAATTCTTTGATTGAAAGGTAAAAGCAGCTTTATGGAACAGTTTACTATTATTTGCAAACAACTCTTAGTCTAAAATTCATAGCTCTGTTACTGAGTTTTGTTTTACTTTCTTTGTTCGCATTTCTTTCATTGAGTCTGTTTTGGCAGCCAGCCAGAGCTTTACTTGGTGTGGGTCATTAAAGTGTATGACGTCGTTAACATGTCTATTTTGATTGGCTCTTGCCCAGGACACAGATGAGAATACCAAAGCTTTAAAAAGGACCCTGATGCACTCAGCACCACCACAATGACTTTATGAGTAGCTTGTAGTTACCGTACCACACATTTTGCATGGTGTAGTGCTGTTACCACCGAGTTTTATGAATCTGGCCCTTCATATTTTTTTTTGGTCGCCCATCTGTAAATAATTCCTAATAAGAATGTTTTCTTTTGGACCTGTCATGTTATGCCATGACATTTTTCATCCTTCACATGTCTAATAGAATGCTATGTTTGAAGTCGGCCATCATTCATCCAGCTGTTTTCAAATGAGCACAACCATTACTGCCTGATTGGGTCACTCAGATATGTGGTAGTTATCTGATAACATGCATGCAGCAGCAGATAGCATGAAATACCACGGTGTTCAACAGAGCTATCAGAGGTGTGCAACATGGCTTAAAAAGAGAAGGGCTTTCTTAAATCAACCACATCATCTGATACTGACGGCACACATGCAAACTGAAATAATGTGGTAACATTTACAGGCAGATGTAAGACGAGAATAGATGTGAGGCTAGATGTAGTTTTTTTTTCAGGTGAGAAAAAATATTCACAAAGAAAACTTACTCAGGTCTCACTTACAGGACTACACAATAGAATGAGCAAAGCTAGCATAGGCTAGCTTCAAATGTGCACTATAAGTGTCCATTTAACATAACGGGATACTAGTTTATGCTTTTTGCCGAGGAGCACAGGTGATGTTTATTTGAAATCAACAGGAGCACAATGCCGCTGTCAGAATAAAACCTCATATCTCCATTTTTGTTGTTTTTCAGTTTTTGACCTAATTTGAAAATACCTGTTGTCCTTTACATTGTATGTCAATTTCATGATGTTTGGACCAACAGAAATGACCCAAAATGACTGGGAAAAACATCTGGCTCCATTGACTTACATTAAAAGTAAAGTATGTTTTTCCCTTCCCATGTAAGGCTCTAATGTTGGAGATACAAGGTTTTGTTCCGACAACAGTGACAAGCTTAATATGAGCTTTACAAGCACAAACGTATCATGAACTTTCTTTATTCCACCTATCAGCCAGAGTCATTATTGTTTTTCACTTAGTTAACACGAAGTAAGTCTTTGTACCAGCAGTTCTTGTAAGTTTGGCCTTCATGTCTGTTTGTTGAATGGCTGTTTTACATAGTTTTACATGTTTTAAAATAGTGCTTTATAATATAATGCAATGGCTAATCATCAACACTACCAAGTTTTGACGCCCAAAGAGTCAGTTCCTATTGGTGAGCTGAGCTGATTTGTCTGACTCATTGAAAAGAGCCAGAATGTTCATCACTAGCAGTGCGAGTGTGCAGGCTGCTTTCCACTGCACTGTAATGTCAAACAACCCTAATGTCACCATCTTTCCAGTACACCTCCAAGCTATACCGAATGTTTAACTTCTCAGTTTAATCAAATGAAATGCTCCATTCAGGAGGTTTTTTGGATGGAAAACAGGGTAATTTAGCTGCTGGTTGTTTTGCTTAGCATCCATTGTAGTAGCCTGTTTAAATGCAAGAGCATGAAATCAACACACAGCTTTAATTTGATGGTGTTGTATTGGCTCATAATGCTGAGGAGCGTAGTGGAGAACAAACCTTTTGAGCCCTGAGATTTACATTCACTGCTGTGAGACCACAGCAAATCATGAAATGTTATATGGTAAACCAGCAGTTCATAACTAAACCATGAGACTTCACAGCTATAGAGGTTCATTATTTAGCAGGCTAGTTAGGCTTCTTACGACGAACAATGACTCATTTTGTTTTGTGTCGTTTAGCATTGAAGGCCAGTGGCACACATCAATGAAAAAAATCTCACACTCAGGTAAAAACCTGTTCTCGCACAGGTGAGCCTAAATCAAAAATCAACTCAAAAGTTGACGCATTAAGCTCAAACTCGCATGTGCTGAAGTTTGTACGTGTGCAGTGTGCATACAACTAAAAAGTTGCATAAAAAGTTGGAGCCCGCCTGTGTAGTGGTATGGCTAAACATGCTGTGGCTGGAGATGAGGGTATTTATCTATGGAAATAATTTAGCCAGGTGACATAAAACAAAAAGAAACTATTTTCATTACACTGAGTGGACATTTCACATCCAGTTAGCAGTAAAAGCAGCTCATTTTAAGCAGCGTTAAATACGAACAGAACAGGCTGAACCCAAACAACTGGAAATGCTGGTAAAATCTTGTTGTGTTTGAGGCTGTTATGTCAAATGTACAGTCTAGTCTTCAGTCTATGATGGGTTGAGATTAAGGGGCAGATTTACTAACGATTTACAGCATCAACCTTGTTTTGTCGTTTAAAAAGTAATGGTTGCTGCCGTTGTTGCTGAGAGAGAAAAGCGAGACACATATCTTGACAAAAAAAAAAAAGTGAACTTCTGCAATGTCATATTATTCTCAGTTTGATGAAGGAAATAAAAAACTGTACCAATTTGTTTTAGTAAGACAGTGTTTAAACTGGTATGTCCTAAAGGCTAATTTATGCTCAATGAACATGGATATGGATACTCTGCGCTCATTTCATCTGTATTTGTGCATGTTCTCTGAAAGCTTACAGATACAGATGAAACAGAGCAGTATCAGCAGAAGCCACGGGGGCAGTTTAGCTAATAGTTCATGTGTGACAAAAAACTATGTTTGTAAATATAGTTTTCATGTGGAAAAAATTGCCATCTGCTCATTCTGGAAACATGTTCACATACAGCTCATCTAGTGAACTGTCACGTTATGTATAGCTATAATGTTAATCTACATATTATTATCATATTGCTTATTTTTAGCTATCACTTACACACTGTAGCTCGAAATCGTGCAGAAAACATGAAACTGTGGAGAGTATTTGGGCCTCTAAGGCTGCAGTTGAGAAACTGATTTATCTCTACAATCTATAAGTCACTCATTGCATAATGTAGCTCAGTTTATTTAAGTTGGTAAAACCTCAGAGACATCTATTATGGTTCTTGCTGGTGGCTGGTGATGTACAGCATTATACCAAGCAACAAGTACCAGGATAGCATCACTTTCCCTCTCTGTTCTCTTTATATATAACACTACAGATTTAAAATGGTGCAATTTCCACCCCATTTCAGAGGAACAAGCTGGACAGCAGTTGAAGAACCTGCTGACTGAAGGCCTCAAAGTAAGTGCACACTAAACAGCAGCAGTACAGATTTCACTAACAGATGTTACATATGAAGTTGATAATATCTCCACCACTGAAAAGTTTGTTTTCAATAATAAAAACCCAATTTTGTGGCAGATCCCTTGGAATGATTCCAAGATAATGTTAAGGCTCTACAACTTCATAGGTTCCATTTGATCAGCAGGAAGCTGTAACAAATGAAGAAATCTTAGATGTGTCCAGGATGATGAAGCTCTAGATGATTCCAAAATTGGGAAAGCTGAACAGACTGAAGTTAAATGTAATATGTAAAAATGTAGTATGTTAAATGTAAAATGCCTCAAATTTCAAAAGTGGTGATTAAATTAGCATTACACAATGAATTGGAAGCTCAGCACTTTTTCAATGTTGCATGGGAAACAATACTTTAACTTTCAATGCTGTTGTATTTACATCACTACATTGATGTATTCTGCCTACAGGTGAATTAAACTGTGTAACTTGAGTAGAAAACCTAAAACACACAGGTGAACAGTTTTATTCAGTAACATATATGACCTCTTAGAAACCATCAACATAAAGTCTAAATCATACTAAATTGTTTCTCTTTAAAATACAGTGTAACAAATGCTAGTTTGTATTGTATTTCCTTATTTCACTTTCAATCTTCCCTTTAAATGTTTACCATATGTAATGTGTTCTCTGCCCATGTAGCACAAGCTTATTTGAAGTTTTTTCCGCCATGCTAACTTACATTACATTCATGAACATAAGCTACACTCGTGACACAGTGGGTTTGGAAATTTCCAACTCAAAATTTCCAACTTCCCACTGTGTAGCATCAGTAAATTACCTGATTGAGGTCGTTTACCATGTATTATTGAAAAAGCACAGAAAGTCAGTGCTTGTTTAGCTGCTGTGTGCATATAAAAAGCACTTAAAAGTGTATACACTTAAATTAAACAACTGTTAGTGCTTGATTTATTTTAAACGTAAATGCACACTGCAAAAAATATACTGTCAAGTAAAATGATCTTACAAATAGTCAGTAAATCTAATATTTCTCCTGTTGAGAGTGTTATTAGCTTTATTTAAGATAATTTACCTTATTACTAGACATTTTTACTTGTTTTAAGTAATTTTATTAAGTAAAATGATCTCACTGTATTGGCAGATAATTTGGCTTGATTTAAAAAAAACAAGCTTGAAACCAGCAAAGTTATCTGCCAGTATAGTGAGATAATTTTACTTGATAAAATTACCTAAAACAAATTAAAAATGTCTAGAATTAAGCTAGAAAATCTTATAATAAGTGCACAACCATTCAAAATGGGAAATATTAGATATATTGACTAGATTTAAGATCATTTCACTTGACAAGATACAATTTTTTGCAGTGTAGGCCAATTCACCACTAACTTAGTGTCAAAAACTGACATGAATGCGTCCAGTTTGAGTTAAAATCTTGCACAGAAGGCCTTAATCACACCATTGTCCAAGGATAGCCCTGTGTTAATTGACATAATGCACAATTAGCATAGCACACACAAACAGAAACTCAAAAAATGCTTAGAAATGCTATTTTGCTTTATGGGTGCCACCATGTTTAAATGACATTATGAATTCCCACTCATGAACGAGTAACACAAAGACTGGCTTGTTGTCATGTTGACGAGCGCACCATCACCTCCTAGTTTGAGCTTTAGAGGCATTGGATCGGTTTCAAAATTTCACACTCAATTTGTTTCCATCCTAATAAATCTATATTCCCACCCACATTTAGCCCAGATTTTCTTATGGTTGTCCCCAGATGTTCAGATGAGATCTGACCCCTGCGAGACGACCCTGTACTTAGAGCAAGCCTGACTAGGCTCAAGTGCCCAGCGGCTTCTAGTACAAACATCTTTGAAGTCAACAGGTTTTCTGTTCCTTAAAAAGTCCAGGGAAATGTGTTGAGCTAACAATACAGTACAGATGCAGCAGATAGAGGTTAAGTTGAAAAATCCTAACATACTCTTTTAACTCAACTCAAGAATGTATGTTTGTCCATAGCAATCAAACAACTGACATTTCTTTTCATTGAAATATGAATCCAAATGATTTGTCTTACCAGTGCTCACAGCAGATTGTCCTTATGACAGCTTTAGAAACGTTTCAACACATCACAGGCTCATATGTGCAATACACTACCCAAAAAGTAGGTTGTGGCTGTGCAGCCCACGTGAGTCCTTACTCAAAGCTGACGGAAGCATGCTCGCTGGGCCGCTGCCTCAGTATGAGTGGGTTTTTTTTTTCCTGTGGTAATGTCATATCAAGGCTCCATGTCATTAGTCACGTCCTAGACGCAGTTGTGTTCCAGTCAGTTTCTTTTTCACACTTATTTTCACAAACATTCGATCTCTAGACTGTCTCTGACTCACAGGTTTTGATGGTTGCTTACAGAATCCCCCCACAGTTTTAGGGAACCTTCAAAAGGTCAAAAAAGATCAATCTGTGTCACCTTTTCTGCATATTAAAACCCCCACAATGACCAAACCAATCGTGACAACATGTCTGCTCAAATCCCTTGTTAGAATCTGGTTCAAAACTTGGCACTAACACTTAAACACTATAACTGACTTCATTTTACCAGGGGAGGTTGTGCAATGCAGTGTAATGCAATTTGTATGAGACTAAATGGCCAACTGGGAAGATGCATTTCTTCAGAATTCTCACAGAAATCATGACATAATCACAGCATATTTGCAAGTGAAACACAGTTTCAGGGAGGGTCTCTAGCTGAGTATTTTCATAGGTGCGGGTGATGATGTCACTAGACCCATGGGAAATGCAGTCCATATACAGTCAGCACCTTTCATGCTGCTTAGCTGTAGCAGACCACTTTTCGCATTAACTTTCAGGCATTGCACTAGAAAGCTGAACATTCTTTTATTGCATAGGCAGTAAGTGAGAACTGCCACACAGCGCTGTTGAAATAGCCAAGATAGCAGGCAGGTCACTTTTGGCCATACACTTCCCCTTGATGGTAGATACTGACACTACACTGACTAACCCACAGCTCAGCAAAGAACATCAGATAACCCTTCTCTTCAAGGTCAGCTCTCCCAGTGACCTACAAAGTCCGAGCACAGTCCCTTACCATGCTGGGTGACCAGTTAAACCAGCACCAGACAAGCATAAATAAGCTTCATGCTGGTTTTCAGCAAGGTAGCTTGTTAGTCATAGCTAGCTAGCTGGTTTAGCATTAATACAGGGTTTCCCAAACACTGGGCCGTGGAAGCATCTTTTGGTGGTAGAATACTGAGGGACAGTGAGATATCCGTAGTGGGCTGGTGACTGCACTGGGTCAAATTTCCCAAAAAATGTAATTTTCAAGCAAAATATCTCTTGAGCCTTCATGCTTTCTTGTGATAAGTGGACCTTGATGCTGAATTCCTAGTTTAGTAGGTCTATCTGCACTTCTAAATCTGCTTGACACCTACGAATATCTACCTAGAGTTGCCAGCTTGTTAGAACATTTAAGTGTGGTTTGAGCTCTTTTGCCCAATCAGTGGCAGTATTAACCAGGCCACAGACTGGACAACAGAGCTCAAAAGCACACTCTCAAGCGTTCTAACAAGCTGGCAACCGTAGTTAAAGGATTAAGGCTCTGTTGTCCACTCTGTGGCCTGGTTGATGCTGCCAACCAAGCAGTAAAATGTCCAGTGAAGTCTCTTTCTAAAAGCATTTGGTTTGTGGAAGTTAGTGAAGTGCCATTTTAGTCCTGTCGTCACACCTCTCTCTCTGTCTAACAGTTCTCACAGCTACACTAATCTGTATGTGCAAAAGGAGGTCTGATACTAGAATAAATGGAAAGTCAGAAAATCAGTCAGATGCTTTACTATAATAGACGAGTGACACAAGAAGCTAAGCACGTTTTCAAGTATTTTCATCCTTATTCTTGTTCTTATCTCTATTTTGTTCATGAACTGCCATATGAGGAAAAAGCCTGTTAGTGAGAAGTATATTGTTTTAATAATACAGTGATATTGAAGTGCCTGTAATGTTTTCTGTTGCTGAGGGTGATGAGCAGTTTTAAATAAAAACGGATGTTAATGAAGTTAATGAAGAAGACAACACTGTTATGATGCTGCTTTATAATTGTGAACATTTCTTGTGACTTGTGATTGTGCAGCATGCCTGTTTGAATATGATTATAGTAATTTGAGGTGTTCAAGGTAAGATTGTTTGCATATTGAACAACTGCTTAAAGGCAAATTTATAATGTAACATATATTTAATACTTACATTCAACTAGAACTGAACTACTAACCCCTGCTTAAACTGACAATCAGCAAGAGAAAAGCTCCCTCTTTTGGTGGTATAATTTATTACATCTTTTTTTTTTTTCTAAGCAGCATCGCTAAGCAACAGAACAGCTCCAAATCCCCTCCACAGTTCATCCTAGTAAGGTGATATATCATTATTGTGATGAATTACATCACTGTACACTTTGCTGAATACATCGTGGGCATCATCAGCTCTTCTACAGCACTAAACACCATAAGATAGATTTAGAATAATTATAGGGAAGCTGTAAACAACAACTGCATAAACTGCACAACTGCATAAACTGCACAGTAGTTGATTGAATTATACTTTTTGGGGATGCACAAATTTTCAGCCAAAAGACAAATAATACTGAGTTACTCAATATCTTTTGGTAATAAAGGGTTTTATTAGTGTTTTTGAACATTGTTACTGCAAACACATGCATTCATTCGATTCTACTGAGGTTCATGGCTGCTTCTTATCTAAATGACGAACACTATAAAGACCTGTGTGCTTCTGGAGAACCTTCAGAACCTTCACCTGCTAGAGGAGAGTTCCAAATCCAAGTTCACCTGCTTTGCATGTTAAACACTAGGTGTTTTAGTTATAGCGTCGTTAAAGTGGAGACACTCTGGAATTCAGCTTTAGATGCCTCATAATCCATAATTTTACTATTATTTTATTACTTAATGTTATTTAGCAAGCTGTTTAAAATTAATTTAGTCCTCTATTTCTGTCAGTTCTCTTTCCCAACAAAGTGATTATTGCCCTTGAAGCATCATCAGCATTATTACGTTAATTAAAAGCATAAATAAAAATTTCGGTTTTAGTGAAGAATTTTCATTTTGGTGCATCTCTAATAGCCTTACCTTATTAAACTTTGATTTGACCGTAAAAGTTAAAGGTCACTCCAGGTCCTGTTCTACACTGTGTACCTGTGTAACAAGCTCTTATTTACAGCTGAAGACAATAACAGGCGTGTGTTTGAATTGGTTTCGGCAAGTATTTAAAAACATGTACTTGGACTCAGTCTAAAGTAAATGGTACTGATGAATCCCTAATTATAATGATACCATTATATAAACCAGATCTAATAGCAGTGGACACTGAGTTTGTTCTTTCTTTCTACAACACTAAACAACATCATAAAACAGATTTAGAATAATTAATAAGATAATAATAAAACTTGTAAACAACAACAACTACACAGCAGCTGATTGAATGTGAGTCCATTATACTTTTTGGGGATGCGGCAAAATTCGTCTGGGATTCGTCCAAAAGATAAATATTTCAATATTTTTTGGTAATAAAGCTTTTTATTACTGGTTTTGAATGTTGTTCCTGCAAACACATGTGTTTGTTAGATCCTACTGAGGTTAATGACTGTTCCCTCTCTAAATGACGAACACTATAAAGACCTGCGTGCTGCTGGAGAACCTTCAGAACCTTCACCTGCTAGCCGAGAGTTCCAAATCCAAGTTCACCTGTTTTGCATATTAAAAACAAAGTGTTTTCATCATAGCATTGTTAAAGTGGAGACACTGGAATCAGCTTTAGATGCCTTTGGGAAAATTTTACTATTACTTTAATATTTAATGTTATTTAGCAAGCTGTTTAAAATGAAATTAGCCCTCCATTTCTCTCAGTTTTCTTTCCCAAGCCGATCATTGCGTTTGAAGCATCCTCAGAATTGTTACATTAATTAAAAGCATAAATAATCAATCAAATTATATATAAAAGAACTCCTTTCTTTCAGTTTGTGTGTTTCAGTTTTTGACTCAGTATGTGCTGAATTTTGTTTTCGCTTTCAGTCGAGAATTTTCATGTCGGTGCTTCTTAAATACCTTTATCTTACTATACTTGTTTGATTTGACCGGAAAGGTCATTCCAGGCCCTGCTCTACACTGTGTGCCTGTGTAGTAGGTATTTACAGTTGAAGACAATAACAGGTATGTGTTTGAATCAGTACCTAAAACATGTACTTAGCCTAAAGAAAATGGTACTGATGAATCCCTAATTATCATGATACAATTATATAAACCCAATCTAATAGCAGTGCACATTGAATTTGTTCTTTCTTTCTGTCAAGCTTGTCCCACATTCTGGATTTTTATAGAACAAACTGGAACAACAAATTTTTTCCTCCAACTGAATGACTCATTTTCCTTCAAAATTGCGCTCTTTTCAATCCTGGAAGTCCAGAAAGAGGCATGAAAAACACTCAGCATGGACAAAGGTCACAGTCTGTGGTCCCTGTAGATAAAAGAGTGCAGAATTGAAGGAAATTATGGGTGACCGACTGTCCCTTTGAAAAGATGTGTAGCGGACAGTATGGCCCTTTTGTAGAGGCGCTGAAGTAGGTCAGGACAGTGGAGAGAATGAAAAACACAGATGCATTTTCTGATAAACTGAATCAAAACCAGTCATTCTCGGGGTCTGTCGAGATTGGCTCTTGGGTAAAGAGCGATTCAGTGGCTATAGCTGAGGAAAGGGGGCATCTGCTTTGTGTGTGCCGCTAATGAGTGTGTGACTAACGTCAAGAGAGTGTGTCAGGATGATCACGACTGCTGGTGTCGGAACACAGCTCTCTATAATGAGTCCTACAATTTTTTTTACTCTGGAGCTGTTGCTGTTTTATCAAACCAGCTGTTCAGCATGGTTAATTCTAGTGAATAGGAGTGCTAATAGGGCTGGGAGTCGGTCCCAAAAAGACTCAATTCCTCGCATTTGGGAATAAAGAGTTGACTCCAAAGCTTTGTATTTGATTCCACACCGTGACATTTAAGTTTCCTCACATATGTCTGCACACGGAGTGTGAGATATTCTGCTGTCACCATCTAGACAGCCTTCCTGAAACTCGCATATGGATAGT